CCCACAGCCGTGGTGTGTCCCCTGCAGCCCGTTTCATCAGCCGTCTGGTGTTCCAGGAGGCCGGCATCTTCAGTGTGAGCACCTGGCTGTGACTGCTTGCGGCTTCACAGCCGGGTGCCCACTGCGCATGTGCTTCCTGAATGGTTCTGTAGTCTCCTAGGACCTGTCACGTGTCCCAAAACACTACAGGGAGGGAGGGAGAAACACCTTCCAACTAGGCGATTGTACCGAAAGTGGGAGCGGCTACCTGTCAAATTCAGGTACCCACTCCCCCCCCCCCTATTTCTCAAAGGTGCCAATCCTTAATGGTGAGCGGGGGGAGCAGTCCTTAACCCCTTGGCGCCGGTGCCTCCCGGCCCTTTACGGCTTTCAGAAGCCGGGAGGTGGGGCGGGGTTTAGGGTCATGGGTCACGACGGTCACATGATCGGCAAAGGTCCCGATCGAAATAGGAGATCGGGACCTTTCCGTGAGTACCGGACATGTGTGCTGGGAGCTCACAGGGCGCGCGCTCTCAGCACATATGTTTTTTTTTTTATAGAACACAAATATGCGGCCGCTCAGTGTATAGGCCCAGACGCCGGGAGGCCGCACATTTGCATTCGGCCGGCGTGCAGAGGTTAAAGCAGAACTTCCCCTTTTGGGTGGAGCTCCGCTTTAAATAGACTCTGCCTGACCCAAGAAGGCTGCCACAGTCACATGGAGGTGACAGCATGCAACTGGATGGCTTCCCCAGTGACCCAGAGAACCATCTAATTCTTCCTGACATCCTCTTCCTCAGCAGTGCGGTTGAGCGCCATCTGCAGTGGAGAAAGCAGACTGTACCTGCCTACAAGTAGCTTGCCTATTCACCTCCTATAGACTTCAAACTGCTGAGTTAAAGATCTCACCAACAGAGAGGTAGAAGATAACATCAAAAGGTTAAAGTGGTTCTAAAGGCAGCCCCCCCCCCCCCCAGCCCCCCCCTATACTTACCTGAGCCCCATCTCAATCCAGCAGTGTGCATGAGAGCAGCAGCTCTCTCGGCTCTTTCTCTCTCCTTATTGGACAGTGAGACTCCTGCTATTGTCAGTCACAGACAGTAAGTAGAGAGCCAGGGGCAGGGCCGACCCACGTTCTATGCGTCATGGACACACAGAGCCAGCTCGGAAATGAGCACCCACGAGTGCCCCCATATCATTCGGCTTGCTATGGAGCCACTCAGCAAGGGGGAAGGGCCAAGTGCCCAGAAAAGGAGGATGGGGCCTGTCTGTGCAAATCTATTACACAGAGCAGGTATGTATAACATGTTTGTTATTTTTGAAAAAAAATAGCCTTTAAAATCACTTTAAAGCAGATCTTCACCCATAAATAGAAAGGGTTTGGTCCCGAATGATGTGCACCGTGCCCGCTGAGCCTCCTGGGATATGTACGTCACATATCCCAGGAGGCCTTTAGTGTTTCATTCACAGAGAAGGAAGGGGGTGGACCTAGCGGTGCATCATAGAGAGGCCTGCCAGCTAATCTTGGAAGAGCCGGCAGGATTCCCAATGCCATCACACACAGACATGGCGGCCTGGGACCTGAGTAGCAGCTGCTGAGAAGAGGATCTCGGCAGGACAACGCAGAAGGTAAGTAGGCGTAAGAAGAAAAAAAAGAGGGGGTGGGAAGCTGAAAATTCTATTTAAATTCTTCAGCATCCACCAAACATTTAAATACTAGCTTTGATGGACTGACCCTTTAAGTGGACATTTTTTAATTCTACAACCATCCAAAGATAGTTTATTAGTGTGTGGATGTGGATGGTCCAAGCACCCACCAGCCTCTTCTTTTGTCTCCATGGGTTGTAAACTCTACATTGTGACCTTACCAAGCCAACAACCTTTGTCTAAACTAAGCCACAATCTTTTTATCTTGCTGGCCAAAATGACCATTTTGATAGTCATCTGGTAGCCTTCACCTTAGTGGCCTTAGTTTAGTATTGGAATTTGGGTTATGGGCTGGCATCCTTGAATGTGGACAAGATGAGCTGGTCTGAAGCGACTGATTGAGGGAACTTCCCATCAGCTTTTATATGAGTCTTTTTACTCTCATAGGGGGTAGTCTGTCCCTGTGTATCCAACCATGATCTAACATCTACATCTCTCTAGTATTTATTTCCTAACTCCAGACAAGATTTTTCCTCTTTTAGCTATGGGTAGAACAGCGAAGGTTAACAAACTCCATCAGATCTCACTACTGTCTGTGTCCCCGTTTAAGAGAATGCCTCTTCAGTTCCTGTGTGGTCACGAAACAGGAAGTGAGGGGAAATGTTCTCCAACATCCTGCTATCCAAAACGATTGTAGCACTACCCCCTTAGGAGTCGCTGACTATATGGGGCCCCCAACAGACCTGCATAGCCAAGCAATACAAATTTTCTACAGACTTGCATTCCAGTAAACAATCCCTGAGCTTGGTTTGTAAGTTTTATTAGGGGTACTGAACTTGGATGGGGTAAGGGGTGTATGGGATGATCAAGGAGCAGTCAGCTGAGAACAACTTCCTGGCAACTATGTACAAGTCTTTTTACAGCAAAAGTTCTTTCTTGGAGGGCCCTCTAGCCTCTCTAGTGTACCGCCCCAGATGAATCCTCTTCTCATCCAGCTATCTGAGGGAAATGATTGGGCAAGGGGATCCAGTGCCTGCCACTTTAAGTTGAAACAGTCACGGGTAAAGAGCTAGTCAGGTTTCACACAAGAATGCCCCTTTCCCCTTAACTGGCCTAGGGGGTGTAGGATTACTCACTCTTACTCTCTTGTTGGATAAGTGGCTGCCTTCAGGCCTTCCTCTGGGTTGGCTCCTTCCCTGCTGCACAGGTGGTCCTCTCTCAGGGGACTCCTGAGGTGGAGTGATCCTCCTTTCCAGCTCCTCTACCTGGAGGTAGGTTCCTTCCCACTGGGCCCCCTCCCAAGCCTCTGCATCTCAGCCAGCTCTACATCTTCCACTCAAACTCTCCTGCTTCAGAGTAGGGCTGTCCTGACCCTATGCCAAGCCTCCTGCCTGGGGATTGGCCAGGATCCCTCAAGAGTGCATACCAGCTCATCCTAACCCTCGTTCACTGTGTTCTAGAGACTTCTCCAAGTCTCTAGATCAGAGTGAGGTATCAGAGAGCTGATTTGCAGATCCTCTTAGCCCTGACCCGAATTTGACTGCTCTGACTATCACCCAGGCTGCTACTCAGCCTTCTAACTAAAAAATAATTAGCTATCTCCCCCTAGCTAACTAGGAGGGTTGCACACTATAATAATTCCAAGCGTGTAAACTTTAGTAGCCCTGAGTTCTGTATTGTGAAGGTAAATCCAATTTGCTGGCAATTGTGGTATTAATAATAATATGAATTTATTTTCTATTTTTTAATTACAGATTCCCATATGGTGATCCATCCTCAGGTGGTTAAATGGTACAACATTAATATTCAAAACAGTCAAAATTTTACAGTAGGCGATAAATTAGTGAATGTTGAATACAGTCAGGATCGTGGCTACATAACAGGTAAAATTTTGCTGTATCAGCAGAAACAAATAAGTGCCCAGGGGGGGCATTAATGGTACTCCATGGGGATGATTTACTAAAACTGTAGAGTGTAAAATCCGGAGCAGCTCTGCACAGAAACCAATCAGCTTCCAGGTTTTTTTTTTTTTGGCAAAGCTTAATTGAACGAGGCGAAGTTCGAATCTGATTGGCCGCCATGCACAGCTGCACCAGATTCTGCACTAACAGTTTTAGTAAATCAGCTCCTTTGTATTCGTTCCCTTGGCTGTGTTGTTAAGCCTGTGTGTACAGGTTCTTGAACTATCCATAGCTTCTAGCAGGGAATGCCCCAGGCAGAGGCGGACTGACCATTTGGAAACTCGGGCACCACCCGAGGGCCTGGGGTCAGTAGGGGGCCCCATGAGATGCCTCTGGTACCTTTTTCATAGGCTTTTTTGAGTTTGGGCAAGGACACAGGGGCCCCATGATCCCCTATTGCCCGGGGCCCCATGAGTTGTCAGTCCGCCCCTGGCCTCAGGTATGCCTATTGGTCAGTCTGTGGCCATCCAGAGAAGTCCATGAAATGCCTTTATAGACACAGCCCTTCACCTGTTCACAGTTCTCCTAAGGGCTGTACCTGAAAAGAGAACATTCTATGTAAGGCGCAGTAGACACTTCAAAAGTCTGTAACAGGGTAGCGTCTTCTTGTTCTTGTCTGGGGACATTTTGTACCCTGAGAGACACCTGACCTCTGACTTTATCAAACCTCCATACCAATAAACGATATATAACTGGCTGTACTGAACACTATGGAGGTTGCAGCAGCCTGTTCAGTTATAATGGAACAACTCAAGCTGAGCTCCTGGCAAACATTCAAATGAACGGATGAAATACATATAAGGGAGCTGCCAAAGGAGTTGTATTTCTTTCCATCCAGTCCTGACATTTGCATGGCTCAGCCACACAGCACAGCCCTGTCTGTCAGGACAGGATATCTGATTGTTCTCTGCTGTAGTTAAAGTGTTCCTAAACCCACAACAGCAAAATCAGTCTGTAGATGCAGTAAAGCATGCTGGTTATACTCACTTTGGAACCTAAGGGGTTAATCCTTCACATTGTGTAAAAAGGCTGTTTGATCCTGTCTTCTTTGATCCTCCCCTTCTTCTACTGTCCCCAGTCCATCTGCTGATAGTACAGAGCTCTAAGAGTCACTCTGCACATGCTTAGTTTAGTGTGTATGGCTAGAGAGTTTTGTGTTTCTTTGGGAGGGTGCATGTAGTCGGTACAGAGCCAATCAGTACTGTCCAGACAGAGGGTCAGGGGTTATGCAGCCTCATAGGACAGTCAGAGGAGAATGAAAACTCCTCCTACAAGATTTAACCAGTGCTCAAATGGACACTGATAGAAGCCACAAGACTGCTATATACTGCTGATGAGAAAAAGTATTTAGCAATTTATATTTACTAAAATATTTGCGTTTCCGTGTCCTGTGTATTGTGGGAGACCAGATATAGAGAATGCAGGGTCCGGGGAGACCAGATATAGTGAATGCAGGGTCCGGGCAGACCGGATATAGTGAATGCGGGGTCCGGGGAGAGCGGATATAGTGAATGCAGGGTCCGGGGAGAGCGGATATAGTGAATGCGGGGTCCGGGGAGAGCGGATATAGTGAATGCGGGGTCCGGGGAGAGTGGATATAGTGAATGCGGGGTCCGGGGAGAGCAGATATAGTGAATGCGGGGTCCTGGGTGAGCGGATATAGTAAATGCGGGGTCCGGGGAGAGCAGATATAGTGAATGTGGGGTCCGGGGAGACTGGATATAGTGAATGCCGGGTCCGGGGAGAGCGGATATAGTGAATGCGGGGTCCGGGGAGAGCGGATATAGTGAATGCAGGGTCCGGGGAGAGCGGATATATAGTGAATGCGGGGTCCGGGGAGAGCGGATATAGTGAATGCGGGGTCCGGGGAGAGTGGATATAGTGAATGCGGGGTCCGGGGAGACCAGATATAGTGAATGCGGGGTCCTGGGTGAGCGGATATAGTGAATGCGGGGTCCGGGGAGAGCGGATATAGTGAATGCAGGGTCCGGGGAGAGCGGATATAGTGAATGCGGGGTCCGGGGAGAGCGGATATAGTGAATGCAGGGTCCGGGGAGAGCGGATATAGTGAATGCGGGGTCCGGGGAGAGCGGATATAGTGAATGCCGGGTCCGGGGAGAGCGGATATAGTGAATGCGGGGTCCGGGGGAGAGCGGATATAGTGAATGCAGGGTCCGGGGAGAGCGGATATAGTGAATGCGGGGTCCGGGGAGACCAGACATAGTGAATGCGGGGTCCGGGGAGAGCGGATATAGTGAATGCGGGGTCCGGGGAGACCAGATATAGTGAATGCGGGGTCCTGGGTGAGCGGATATAGTAAATGCGGGGTCCGGGGAGAGCAGATATAGTGAATGTGGGGTCCGGGGAGAGCGGATATAATAGTTCATCTTTCTGTCATTTGCTCTCTCCTCCTATCAGAGTTTTCCTTGTTAGCATGATGTTAACAAGCAACACAGCACTTCTATTTTCTGATTGGCTCCTTGTGCTGCACCCACCCCCACTCCCCCCCATCTGAGCTCAACCGTACATGGAACTGCAGGAGTCAGATACCAAATCAGATTTCGGTGCTTACATGGCTTGCATTACAATATATATATATATATATATTTATTTTAATGATGTACAGTATTAATGAATATATAGAGCTGCAAAAAGTTGTGTGTTTTATATCTATCCGGATTTCAGCTTTAATTGAAATTTCAAAGAGCCAAAAGAGTTGCACTTCTGACTTTCTTCCCACCTTTTTGTCTGCAAAGGAGATTCAGCTGCTCTACCTGATGCCCTTGGTGCGCAGGACGCAGTGCAAGGGGCGGAGTTTGCCAATAGCAGTCAAAGTGAAGACAGTTTGCCGAACGTCTCCGATCTGTCAGTGGCTGAAGGTAAATAGTTATGGTTTATTATAGGTTTATAAATTCCCCATCACACTGTGATGTCACAAGTGTCTGGGTAGGTAAGCTTTGGCAGGTATTATAGAGGGAAAACCTAGCTGTGTCAATGGAATGTGCCTTTTGAAAGTCCTTGAACTTTGAAGACTCTTACATCTGCCTTTCTCAACCTTTTTACCTTGGAGGAACCTTTGGCAAAAAGTTTGAGATCTCGGGGAACCCCTGAAATAATTTTCAGATCTGTATCGCCGCACTTTCCCACCTCGTCCAATCAGAGAACACTTTGCGTACTTTGAGAAAATGCAGAGTGATCTCTGAATGGCGCCTGTGCCGAGCGGCCAACCTCCTGTGTTTAGAATGCAGCAGAGCAGCTGCTCGGACCCAGAAGCTAGTGGAGATCACTGGAGTAGCTCTGTCTATTACAGTGATTTCCAGCTTCCAGAGCGACCTCATAATTATGATGTATACTTATGTATTTACAACACTCAGCTGTCCTATCAGGTTTTAGCTGAGCAGAAACTCTGAAATTGTTGGCTGCATTGGGCATACAGGGTTCATTGAGTCTGGAGCAGAAGTTCGGAGTTAGACAATTTCCAAACGCTTTCAATAGATCTACAATTTATTTATTTCAGGTACTTATATAGCGCCGTCAATTTACGCAGCACTTTACATATATATATTGTACATTCACATCAGTCCCTAACCCTCAAGGGGCGTACAATCTAAGGTCCCTAACCCTCAAGAGGCGTACAATCTAAGGTCCCTAACCCTCAAGAGGCGTACAATCTAAGGTCCCTAACCCTCCCTCAAGGGGCGTACAATCTAAGGTCCCTAACCCTCAAGGGGCGTACAATCTAAGGTCCCTAACCCTCAAGGGGCGTACAATCTAAGGTCCCTAACCCTCAAGGGGCGTACAATCTAAGGTCCCTAACCCTCAAGGGGCGTACAATCTAAGGTCCCTAACCCTCAAGGGGCGTACAATCTAAGGTCCCTAACCCTCGAGGGGCGTACAATCTAAGGTCCCTAACCCTCGAGGGGCGTACAATCTAAGGTCCCTAACCCTCAAGGGGCATACAATCTAAGGTCCCTAACCCTCAAGGGGGCGTACAATCTAAGGTCCCTAACCCTCAAGGGGCGTACAATCTAAGGTCCCTAACCCTCAAGGGGGCGTACAATCTAAGGTCCCTAACCCTCAAGGGGTGTACAATCTAAGGTCCCTAACCCTCAAGGGGGCATACAATCTAAGGTCCCTAACCCTCAAGGGGGCGTACAATCTAAGGTCCCTAACCCTCAAGGGGTGTGTACAATCTAAGGTCCCTAACCCTCAAGGGGGCATACAATCTAAGGTCCCTAACCCTCAAGGGGGCGTACAATCTAAGGTCCCTAACCCTCAAGGGGCGTACAATCTAAGGTTCCTGACCCTCAAGGGGCGTACAATCTAAGGTCCCTAACCCTCAAGGGGTGTACAATCTAAGGTCCCTAACCCTCAAGGGGTGTACAATCTAAGGTCCCTAACTCACATTCATACATACACATACTAGGGACAATTTAGACAGGAGCCAATTCACCTACCAACATGTCTTTGGAGTGTGGCAGGAAACCGGAGTACCCGGAGGAAACCCACACAGGCACAGGGAGAACATATATACACACACACACACACATATTGTATATATATACATATATATATATATATATGTGTGTATATATATATATATTTTTTTTTTTGTATGCACTACAAAACAAATCAATCGAAGCATTAGAAACAGTGGCAGCAACTTTATATTACCAAGAATTAGCTCTTCAGGTTGCAGAGTGTATATCAGCCCTTCCTCAGTGCCATGAAAGGAGGAGGTTGCACGGCTCACAATGAGTGATTTCAGCATCTGCACTGAAAATGAAATCCTGATTTTCCTTGAGACCGTTATTTTTCTGTAGAAATCCAGGAGCGATCACCACGCACGTCCTCCCCCCGCCAACCCCGATCAGTCCCAGCAATGTTTAAATGTCTCCGCCATCTGTGATGTGATCGAACAACTGAAGCTGGAAAAGCAAGATGAACATCTTTCGTGAATCTGTTTCGACTTTCAATTTTAAAGTGTAACCCTCTCTACGGATTTATTTGCCAGCACCACGAATGATATGCATCTTCAATTATTTCTTTCAATGCTTACCGGCCAGCTGGAAATGTTCAGCTTTCTCTTAGCTCTGGGGGATATGTAGACACATGAAATGCTGTGTCTAGGTCACAGTTCTTGGACAGCTTCAATCAGACTTATTAGCAAACGGAAAATGTTTAAGAACTGAAAGACGTGCACACTGGGCAGCCATATTGGAACTCTTTTTTTAGTGATGACTTCTATTTAAACTCTTCCTTTCCTTTGTGGTTCATCGCCTACCTCTATGTACAGCCTGCTGAGCAGACAATACAGCGTAAGGAGCCAGTTAGATGGAGGAGCGGCCGTTATACCTCATCAGATACAGACTACCTATGGTTTTTGTATTTTAAATAACGGGATATGGGCAGAATTGTTGCGACTTTGTATAATAAACATGTAAATAATCCTTCTCCGTGTTTGGTTGTTATTTAAAAAAAAAAAAGTGATTGTTTAAAGTGATATTAAATTTACATGATATAATTAATTTTCTTTAATAAAATTGCCTGTTTTATTCTCCTGTGGCTGGCCCCCAAGTTTCTGGCTCTCTCTGCCTGGTCATGAGTGTCTCCTTAGCTAGCTGGCTGCTAAGGGAACACCCATTCATGCACACTCCCAGCTGGTGTTGTGTGCGTCCATAGACACACACAGCATCCAGCAAGCCATGCCCCTGCACCCTCCCAGCAATTTGACTGATGGCCTCAGTACTCTCCTTTACAGCCTGGACAACATGGAAGTGGCAGAGATCATCCTGGAGCTGGCGGTGGTGACAGGGGACCACAAGTAAGTGTTTAGAGATGGGGGAGAGAAGAAAGGAAAGGAAGGAAGGATGGCTGGCCTTGTCTCCTGTTATATGTGATGTTCATATCCCAGGAGGCAAAGGGAGTACAGTGTACGTCATTTGCCTAGGTGAATGACTTGCATGGGAGTGGAGCCAGACAATTTCATTAAAAAATATAGATAAACCCCAAAAAATCATGCAGAGGATTGGAGGAGGGGTGGAACGCATGGAAGATGATTTGAAGAGTGAAAATCCGCTTTAACCTCCGACGGTACTTCTCAGCTTCCATAGCGCCCTCCCAACCTCCAATAGTAGTCCACAGTGCCCCCAGGCCCTCTGTAAGTCCTCAACCTCCTCAGTGCCTTTAAGCTCTCACCACAGTGTGCCCCGGTGTGCTGCAGGCAGGGGCGGACTGACCAATTGGAAACTCGGGCACTGCCCGAGGGCCCAGGGTCAGTAGGGGGCTCCATGAGATGCCCCTGGTACCTTTTTCATAGGCTTTTTTGAGTTTGGGCAAGGACACAGGGGCCCCATGATCCCCTATTGCCCAGGGGCCCCATGAGTTGTCAGTCTGCCCCTGGCTGCAGGCCTCCAACTCCCATCCCCCCACGATGATACTCAGCCCCATCCAGAGCCTTCCAACATTTCAATGCACATTTTGCATTCCAAAACTGTTGCTGTTATATTTTACTGTTGGGGCATGGAAGGTTATGGACGAATTTACCAGGTCCTGCTCTCATAAAGAGTTGAGAACCCCGGTTCTAGTTGGTGATGTCACAGGTCCTTCGTGTTCTTGTTTGGCATCAGCAGTGGAAGGTTTTTGGTGCTGCAAAGCCTGACTTGTGGCAGCACTGTAAGCCCAGGTCAGTATGGTGATGCACTTCCAGGAGGATGTGTTCATGACACCCTGGGCTCACAGAAAGTGAGCTGAATAATGTTGGGCACTATTCAAACTGGACATAGACTGGGGTTGGACCTTGAAGCTGTCAGCTTTTCTTTATTAAAGTGTCAGTCTTGTAAATGAAAGTGAATCTTTCTGTAAAGAAATGCGTGAGCTGACATTGCTGGCCTACTGAAAATGCTAGTTGCGTGACTATTTAGCTGACCCAATGCATTCAGTACATTCTGTATCACAGACCTCTAACAAGGACGCAATGCCGTAACACCTTGTTAGTGTAGCAGGAAACCGCCTGAGCCCAGTGAGCGGAGAGCGCTCCTGCTGTTCCGGGGTTCATCTCCTCTGTTTATGTCTGCAGCTATAATAAATTGGTGATTTTTCTCAGGTAGATGATTACATCCATGTTTAATGGCAGCTGTGAACTTAGCTGTTGGAGGCTGACAGAGCAGACGGCTCACTGAGTGAAATCTCTAACTGCCGAGCAATATCTGCAGCTTCATTAATTACTTAATTTCTATGTCATAGTACTTCTGAAGGAGGAGAACTGGCTCAGATCTCCATTTGGCTGATGTCTTATAC